AAATAAGGAATGGTTACCTGAAGGGAGAGCAGGTCTGTGAGGTGGGGGTCCTTCCAAGCACTCACTATTCTGCTAACAGATGGTAAAGCTTTAACTCCTGCCATTTTTCATTATTACTTCATGTAGCTCTTCACAGCACAAACTGTATGTCCTCTGCTCTCACAAGAACACAGGGAAGCACAGGCAGTGGCAGGACTGCTGGCTGTCTTGCTTACTCTGCTACTGACAGACAAGGAAGTTACAGTTTTTGTAATGACAATCCATAATCAGAACTGAAAGGTTTGGCCTCTTCCCTTTGAGCAGTGCCTTTCCTTGTGATGTTTTGGGCTGCCTGGTTCTAGAACAGCTGTGAAGTAACTGTGCTATTCAGTGCTGCATTTTAGAAGTATTGCAAAAGCAGCAGTTTTAAAAACTGAAGAAAGGCTTCTGTTCTGTTTGCTTTGTTGCTAGCGCTGATCATTTAGTAGGAAAAAAGTCTGTATGAAGCAACATTGCAGTTCTCATTGCACTGCACCTAAGTTCAGAAACTGCTGCAGAGTAAGTAAAGAACAGTAATTGGAAATTGTTTTCTTTTATGTGGCAAGTATTTCTTTGCACCAGACACATGCTGCTAACATGTCTCAGCCGTGCTTGTACAGCTGAAATAAATGGACAACTCGTTCAGTGTTTCTGCAGGCAGTGCTCCACTCAGCAGCCTCTCAGCAACTGCTTCCATTCCAGCTTTCCAAGAAAAATATAGCACTTTGCAGCTGTGCTTGTCATTTAGAAGACTACTTTTACGTGAGGTCTTGCCCGGCGATCTCAGTACTGATTTCTGCTACTTATTTGGTCTCATTTGCTGTGCACTCTTACCTGTTAACATTACTGTTCTGAAAAACTGCTATTTCCTGCTGAGAAGAAAAAGTACATTATCTTTTAGCTAAACCTTTTTTTTTTTTCCCCTGTTTTTCTTTTCTTTTCTTTCTGGATCCTTCGTATGCAGTCTTCCACCTAAATGGCATTGGTAGTGAATAACTTGATACACTGACTATTTTCTTCTATCTCACTAATGAAAGTATGAAACAATCATTGTCCTACACATCTGAATGACTGGATGCAACAGGTTTTGAAACAGCTGAATGCAACTTCAGCAACTCATAATCCTTTATATAGATATTTCTTAATACTTTACACTGTCTTATTTTGTAGCCCAGAAATATCTTTTTGCATGGATCAGATCATCAAGTTAAAATAGGAGATTTTGGATTAGCCTGCAAAGACCTCCTTTGGGACGACTCAGATCAGTGGTTTCACACGGAAAGGATAAATGGTAAGAGCAGAAATCTTTGTAGGTTTCAGTGTTTTAAGTTTCTATCATATTTAAAACATTAATAAGTCTAAACTCATGTTTTAAGGACTGACGCATACCTCAGGTGTGGGGACTTGCCTATATGCTTCACCAGAACAGCTGCAGGGGTCTGACTATGACTTCAAGGTAGGTTTTGTTTTTTACCCTCCTCTATGAACACATTTAAATGCTGTTATCTGATTAGGTGCTGATATTCAGATTGCCCAGGGTAACACTTTATGTCTACCTGCATAACCTGAAATGTAATTTTTCAGAAACTATATGCTTAATTTTAATAGCACCCTGCATCTGAAAAGAAAGTCTGTCAGTAAAATGATTTTTATTTCTGTAAGGCATACTTAGGACAGATTATAGGAATAAAGCATAAGCTTCTCATTGGCACCATAGATGGTTAATCTTCCTCCTACTGTTACTCCTGTTTTTTGCTGAAACACAGACTTCAGCTTTGCCTGCTAAATATAGAAGTTGTGTTTCTGAGATCATCGTGAAGAATCTGTATAGACTTGAATTTGAGTTGCTTCAGTAGTGCCACAAAACTTTTCTTATTATCATGAAACTTTGTCATAAGCCTCACTGTAATATTTGTGAGATGAAATCTGGTTGGTTCTTTGAAGTAGAAGTTATCCCAGAACTTTTTCTTCACCCCTTTTTCAGTCAGACATGTATAGCTTGGGTGTTATCCTGCTAGAACTCTTCCAGCCATTTGGAACGGAAATGGAAAGAGCAGAAATTATAACAAATTTAAGGAATGGCCACATTCCTCATAACTTCTACAAGAAATGGCCTGTTCAAGCCAAGTATGTAAAACTTCTCACCAGTCAGGTATCCACAGAAAGACCAACTGCTGCTCAACTTCGTGAAAGTGAGCTGTTTCATACCACAGAACACGTAAGTACTGCCAAGAACATCAGCCTTCACAGGATAAAAAATATGAAAGCTAAATTGCTTAGTAACAATCTCCTTACTTTTCCTGTCTATATTGTGCCTGTTTTTTAAAGAGAATTGTGTGATTGAGATTTTTATTCCCTGTTACAATATTTAGGCCACTGTTTCCAGGCTCTTTTAAAGGAGAAAAGTAGCCAATAAGTGCAGGTAACTTAAGACTGGACACTTGATTTACAGACAGATTGAGGTTTTTTTGCCAGCTCTGCAGTCTTTGTTAATAGTTATCCCCTTTCCTTGCCACCCGTAAGATCTGTGGTGCTGCAGAATCTTATTTGTAGTTGACTACAGACATGCAAATAGACTGATGAGGATTTATCCCTGCCTGTAAATAAATCAGCTGTCTCACATCTCCAGGTTATTTCTAATCTACAGCAAAAGGTGAGAGAGCAAGAAGAAGAAATAGAAAAACTGAAAGAGAAACTAAGACTGCTTTCCACTGGACAAGATGAACATACGGAACAAGGTTCTCCAGTTTAAGTACAGGAAGAACACAATTACTGCATATTAAGTTATAGAAAAACTTTTTTTTACATAAAAATAGTTTGGTGCATTTTGATTTTCCTGTCTGTTCTTTAAACAGAATACATTCCAAGTTAAACTGTACAGAGAAAAAAGATGGAAAAACTCAAAAAACAGCTTGTATTTGCATAAAACTGCTTTAGGTAACTAAACAAATGTGTTTCTCATGCAGCAGCTAAAAAAAAGGAAGATCACACACACAAAAGGCAGCTGTAATGTTTTTATTGGTTTTAGAATTCTATCCAGCTGCAGAAACTGAATAGCTCTCATAAAGGATTCAAACCACGACAATAGGTGTGTGGGATGGAAGTAGGTTAAAATCACCCTGCTTATATAAAGGTACAGACTTATTTCAGTAGCTTAATAACAGAGCTGAAAGGTGCTAAGTTCTCACAGGACTTCATCCATTTCTGCACGTTGGCTGGTGCAGCATTTGCACTGCCTGTCTGCTGAAGCACACACCATGCAACAATATCTGCCACGGTGAGTTCATTTCCCACCAACCACGATGTCTTGCCCAGGGCAGCATTCATGGATCGCAAGACTGCTCCTTTTTCTTTACTGCTGCCTTCTTTGAGCTGGAAGATGGCTGTGTCAACCCAGCTGTCAATCAGAGTTGAAGTAATTGCATTGTACTTCTGGCCAAAAAGGGAAAAGAGAAATCTAGCAATGTTCCCTTCTCCTTCAATGGGGCACATTGTTTGAATGCTGAACTTCATCTGAGGTTTTGGAACTGAAATCAAGAAAAGTGATTACTGTAGAGAAGCTAAATATATTGCTAAGATTTATTTTGTTTCTGATGGCATCAGCATTTCTAATGTTGTGAACTTGACAACAGTTTTTCAATTTTCTTAGTCTGAATACTTAAACTAAGGCAACAACCTGGCATAAAAAAGCTCCCATTGGACTGTAGACTGCAAAATCTCTCAGCCAATCTTTGTAGAAACTGTATCCACAGGATTGCTGGAGATGAGTTTTTCAAATAGCTGCCTTTTAAATACCATTTGTATTTTAATAGCAGTAACTCAGTTTTATTTCTCTGTCCCCACCACTGCTCTCAGTTATGAAAATTAAAGTTCATATCTGCAAGAAGAGCAGAGATGCTACCTGTCCATCACGTTATCAGTCATACCACACCAAAGCACCTGTTCTATAGCACAAGTTTCACTTTCTGACCTATTGTATTCCTCTGGAAGATAACTAATTCTTACCGTCCTTCCATATCAGAGTGAAGCCCAACTGATATTCGTGGCGTGGTTGCTTCTTCGTCTGCTCCCCAAAGCATTTCAGGAGTTTTTCTGGCACACTTTTCACTGATGAATGTGTGTGAACAGCTGATAGTATCTTATAGCGCTCACAGAGCAGGCTGTGTAGTACTAATAAGGACAATGGGGGCACAGAAGGATTTGCATTGATTACAATATCTTTCAGGGCACCATAATCCTGAATAGAAAGGAAAAAACATTCAGGTGAGACACTTGCCAGATGGGTATAGCCATGTGTGTCTAAAATTCCAGGGCTAAACAAGCTTTGACATTTAAATCACCAAAAAATTTAAACATCTTCCTTCTTCAACGTTTATGGATATTGCAGTAAATTCTAATCAAACATTTAGTCAAAATTTCCTGAGTTCTGAGCGCTCCACGTCTTAATGCCACCCTTCCACCCCTTCTGCTCTGAGGGCAAAGAAAACACCCACCACTGTACGTGCTGAACTCAGCTTACCTTTCCAAGCATCAAGTCTAAATCCGCTCCATTTGTCGTCAAAGGAGAAGACTCATCATTTTGAATGACGTGAGTCACATCGAAGTCAGCGTCAGGAGTCTGTACCATCTTCGAGAGCCCATCGACGGCGCTCTTCAGCTCGTACAGGCGTCTCAGGATCTCCTCCTGGCGGGACTCAAGGGCTTGAAGCGATGGGTCAGCTTCTTCCTAGAGGAGAGAAAGTCCCGTCGGGGTTCGCTCAGCTCCACGCAGTTCACAGCCCGCCCGACCCTGCGTGGAAAGCCTTTAAAGGCGCTATTCGCATCCTAACCCTTCACCGCGGAACGGTGAGGTCCCGCGTCTCCGTGCGTGCGGACGAGGCGGGAGCTGAGCCACGTCTCGATTTACCAAGCGTCGGAAACGCTCGTCGTTACCCGCCGGCTGCACCGAGCCAGCGCTGCGAGCCCGCAGCCTCAAGCAACGGCGGAGGAAAACCCGCAGGCAGCCAGCCGAGCTCCCAGCCCGCCCGGGCCCCGCGGAGTCCCAGGGCCGCCCCGCGCGGAGGGCAGGGCGGGGTGCGGAGCGCCGGGAGCGGAGGCCGGCAGCGGGCGGGCAGCCCGCGGAACGCGACGCGGAGCCGTCGGTCCGGAGCCCGGCGGAAGGAGGGCAGCGCCGAGGCTGCACGCGGCGCCGCGCTTCCGCTGCACGGCAGCCGGGCCCGGGCGCGCCGAGCTCCGCCCCGCTCGCGGCCGCCCCGCTCCTACCTGCGGCGTGGCGCAGCGGTGCAGGCAGGGCACGCGGTACATGCAGGTGGGAAGCTGCTCTGCCGGCAGCGGGCCCGCGGCGCCGTGCAGCGGCTTCACCTTGTACATGGGCATGGCGGCTCCCGGCTCGGCGCCCCTCCGCGCGGCGCAGCGCCGCTCCGCCCGCCTGGCCCCGCCCGCCCGCCGCGCCCATTGG